GCAAATGATATAGTTCAGGCAAATCTCTGAATACACGGCTGCCTTTCCCAAGACAGCCTCAAGAATGAAGGAGGAGATACCAGAAGACAGGCTGTTACACAAAGAAAGCTAGGCAGTCCATAAAAGTAATACCAGCAGGACTGGCATCTCTTCCTTTCTATTCCACTTGGGCATATTTATGATTAAGTTATTAGAAACAGGCTCCAAAACGGTGGCATGAAGGCCCAACATCCTTTAGCGGAACCTGTGCTGACAGACCAGCATTATCCACCTTAACTGGTTTTTGATAACTCATGACACAAATAATAAAAGACATGATTGAACTCAAATAATGAACAAAATAGTTATTGACTTAGCTAACTTAATAATTCATCTTATGGGTATAATTGATAGCACATACTGTCAGACACTATGCTGCAATAATAACTCAGAATTATTATTATTAGTTATTATTAAAAATGATCTATTTCTTATATTTTGTTACATAAGAAATTATTTAGGGCAGCACTGTGGTGGAGTGGCTGGCACTGTTGCCTTGCCTCACAGCAAGAAGGTCCTGAGTCTCCACCACCTGACCGGGCCTTTCTATGTGGAGGTTGCATGTTCTCCCTGTGTTTGCATGGGTTCTCTCTGGGTACTCTGGCTTCCTCTCACAGTCCAAAGACATGCAGTTAGTGGGGTTGGTCTAAATTACCCGTAGGTGTGAATGTGAGTACGAATGGTTGCCTGACTCTATGTGTTAGCCCCCCCCCCCTTTTTTTTATTACACTCATTTATATAATGAGTTAAATAAAAATCAAAGCTTAAATATGTTTAGTAACCAGACAACTTTGGTATTATTAGAGTACTTTATTGGTAATAATTCAAAGCACATCATTTGATAACAAGTAAAGAAATCCTCTGAGAGCAACAAGCACAATTTTAAAGATTAGTATTTACTTAATTGTGTTTTAGAAAGAAAATGACAGATGACAGAAATAAACAATTAATATTTCAAATTGTTTAAGGTTTTTCTTTTTTCTTGACTCATATAACAACATGGACTGAAGCTGATCTTCCACACGCTACACATTGTTGTATATTGACTCATCGCAGTCAGTCTAGACAGAAAACAAGATTAATTCACTCACTTTGTTTATGCATGCACATTATGAATGAATTATTGAAAAAAAAAATCATTACTTGTCCCTACAATGCCATAGAGATGATCATTGGCATAAATGTCAGAACAAGACATATCCTTCCTGTCCTCTTTCCTGCAGAAAGAATGCAAAAACATTAAATCAAGTTACACATCTTCTTAAATCATATTTAATTACAAGTGAGATTAAACAGCAGAAGTAGCTGCTGTGGATGCGTAAAAAACTCTCACACGTCTTGTAGTCCCATTTCTCCTTTTGTCTGAGTTTTAAATTACCAAGACAAGAGTTAAAGTAATTAAAATTATGTGTTATTCACTAGCCCATACACAACTGCGAAAGAAATTTGCACATTCATTTCAGAATAGAAAAAAATGACACAGCTCACAGTCTCAGTTCCTCTCCAGTGTTTATAGTGAGAGAAACAGTTCGTGTATGAGCTCTGTCCTGGTTCACATGGGCCTCCTAAATGTCTCTCTACTTATTGAGCCATCCCTTGACTTTTTGTCAGATAATTAAAGTGACAAAAATTTGTGTTCAGGCTCAATATCTATTGTTCTTGAAAGTTAAAATATCAGTGAATCAAAATCAAATCTCTTGTTCTTTTTCAGTGCACCTGACCTTTAGTGTGGGTCAGCCAGTTGCAGCTTTTTGCCTCAGTCACAAACTTCTGCATTAACATTTAGCTATACCTTGTCGGCCCTTTCCAGGCCTTATTCCCCTCACCACATCCTGACTTTCCTTTCCAAGTGATATTGTGAATATGTGTTAATATGGGCTAATTGTAGCCACATCTGTCACTGCAGCCGTCTTCCTCTGCTTGTCCACCACTACTATGTCCGGTTGGTTAGCCAACACCAGTTTGTCTGTTTGTATCTGGCCACAGGATATTAGCTCGTTCATTTTCAACCACCCTAAGGGGCTTTTCTTGTTTTGCCTTAGGGACTTCCAGGTAATACTCAGCACAGATGTGTCTGTATACTATGCTGGCCACTTGTTTATGGCGTTCCATGTATGACTCGCCTGCCAGCATCTTGCACCCTGCTGTTATGTGCTGGATTGTCTCAGGGGCATCTTTACACAGCCTGCACCTGGTGTGGTAGACCCCAGCTCCTCTATTTCTTGTGCTTAGAGATTGTTCCTGTGCTGCCATGACTGGTATGTCTGTGCTGTCTTTCAGTCCAGGAAACAGCAGGACTTCTGGATGTCAGCCAATTCTTATATCTGTCTGTAGTACATACCATGCAAGGGCCTGTCCTTCCATAGTGGTTCCGCCTCCTGCTCCTCTTTCTTTGGTTTCTGCTGCCTGAAATATTCACTAAGCATGTGATTGGTTGTGACCATCCTCCCGATAGATATATATATATGTAGATGAATATGTGTATAACTATGTATCTACTGTATATCTCTTGTGTCTCTGCTGAAATTTCCAACGGTGGACTTCTGAGATCCAATCTTCTGAACTGCTCATCTCAAAGGTTATTTCATGTCTTCATTTTATGTTACTTTACTTAGATTTGTCCTTAGCACATTTTCACAAGAATATTTATTTTACCATTTGTTATTTATTGTACTCCCTTTTAGACCAGTTGTAGTAACATTTTGTCTTTAAACCTGTTTGTCTATCAGACTTTACTCAATATGTTTATTAAATCATAGACATTTTTAAAGTAGACATTCAGAGATCAGAGTGCCACACACAGTTCATACGCTTCATCATATTTCCCGTCTTAGCTTTCAGGAGACTTTCGTTTGTCTCATTATCTCCATCTCTCTCCGCCTTTCTTTTCGTCACCGTTAAATAGTTTTTCCATTTTTCTTGCAGGTTTGTTTACGACACTTCATATCTCCTGCTCTGTGCTCTGTGTGTGTGTTCGTGCATGCTTGGTGCCAAAAACCCTGCCACCTACTGTAGTAGACCTGCAATTACAGTTTATTCTAGGGGAAAAGAAGCATGTTCCGCGGGGTCACAGATGGCGCACCCCACTATTTGAGAAGGACTGCCTGAATCTATTGGTCAGGTTAAACAGATTCATATTTACTTAGTTATATTCTGATCAGTAGAAGCATAATTAACTATCAGCAAAATTTGATTCTTTGTTTGAGCATTACAACACTTAATGCTATTTCTCTCATTCAAAATCATCTATAATGATGGGCATGAATGAATTTGTGACACAGCCTCTTCTCAGTCCCAGGTGTGAATATAAAAGCTGGATCGTGTCTACACACAAAATCCAGACATTAGACCAGACATGTTCACTACTCCAACCACATTTCTGAGTAAAAATATTGATCAGGCTCATATTTTTGATTTTTCTTGTGGTTTTTGACTAAGATTAAAGATCTTAATCTACCATTAGGATATATGGAAAAATAATAAATGAGAATGGTTCTGTTTCAGCCTTCAGATCAACTTTTATACATGGGTGGGGCGACTTCAAGCATGACCCCATATCGCACAACAATTTATATTAGGCCTGCACTTTTGCAGAACTGTTTTCAAAGTCTGAAAAGTTTTGAGGGAAAAAAAAAAACTAAACATTTTGTTTTTTTGGTTCACTCGCTGTTTTGAAATTTGCATGAACAAAATAAGAAAAGAAAAAAGTGAAAAGAAATGCAAAAAAAGAAAAGAAAAAAAGAAATTGTGTTTCAAAACCAAAAAAGAACAAGAACAAAAACAAATTAACAAGAAACTCAAAATCCTGGGTCCAAGACCCAGGAGACCCAGGAACCATTACTTTTAGTTCCAATCAGGCTATCTTCAAAGTAGCCAAATGTTTCAAGTCTATTATCAAATGTGCCCCATTTTATACACAAACATTGAAATTAGGCACACGGTTCTGAAAATACAAAGTCATGTATCAACATCATGACTCCAAACTGCTACACTCTCCACTGGTCTCACTCAAATAATATAAATCAGGCAAATGATATAGTTCAGGCAAATCTCTGAATACACGGCTGCCTTTCCCAAGACAGCCTCAAGAATGAAGGAGGAGATACCAGAAGACAGGCTGTTACACAAAGAAAGCTAGGCAGTCCATAAAAGTAATACCAGCAGGACTGGCATCTCTTCCTTTCTATTCCACTTGGGCATATTTATGATTAAGTTATTAGAAACAGGCTCCAAAACGGTGGTATGAAGGCCCAACATCCTTTAGCGGAACCTGTGCTGACAGACCAGCATTATCCACCTTAACTGGTTTTTGATAACTCATGACACAAATAATAAAAGACATGATTGAACTCAAATAATGAACAAAATAGTTATTGACTTAGCTAACTTAATAATTCATCTTATGGGTATAATTGATAGCACATCACTGTCAGACACTATGCTGCAATAATAACTCAGAATTATTATTATTAGTTATTATTAAAAATGATCTATTTCTTATATTTTGTTACATAAGAAATTATTTAGGGCAGCACTGTGGTGGAGTGGCTGGCACTGTTGCCTTGCCTCACAGCAAGAAGGTCCTGAGTCTCCACCACCTGACCGGGCCTTTCTATGTGGAGGTTGCATGTTCTCCCTGTGTTTGCATG